GACAGACTTCACACAGTACATGAGGCATGCGGCTGGTGGTGGAGGGGGATGGAAATGGCTTTGCTGGGGCTGCCGCCTGGCTGACCGCTGTCCAATTCCGCCCTTGATCATGCGCAGCGGTGCGATCCACCGGCAGACTCCACCTGTGTGAGGTCATGGTCATGGTCTTCCCGCGATGACCTCTGGATCTGCAGCCCGCGACTCTGACGTGATGACATGCAGCGACTTAAAGCAAGATGATGAAGTTAGCTAATGGTGTTGTTGATACTGTCGACGGGACAGGCTGTAGGTTAGCATAAGCTATCGTGAGTTTTCTTTCTCGGGAGAAGAAGCATTAAAGGTGATGGTGCCGCATACCGACGACCACCACCGACATTGCCGCCGATTCGCCTCCCGGCCCCGTCGCCTCCGTTCCTAGTGGCCGCCCGCGCAGCGCAGCGGCGGCGGGACTCCGCACGACTGAAAATCGGCTCAGGGTTCAACGCCACGGATGGAATGCTGTGGAGGGGGAGGTTCAGGGACGCTGGACCCCTGGACGGGGGGCTTGCCTCTGCCTTGTTTTCTCTGCTCTGGTGCCCCTCTTGCCGGCTGAGGTGCCGCTCATTGCCGTTGACAGTTTGATGAACTGCTGGTGGTGAATGTGAAGGAGGTTTGGTCTGTCAGTCTGTGTCGCTGTGCATCCTTCCCATGTGCGGCGGGCTGCCTTTTCTTGTCCTCCCCCAAGCCGGCCAATCCGCGACGCCACAGTCGTGCGGCTTGCAGGTTTGGCAGGCGTCGCATTGTTTCCAGCGGGAGTGTCCTCTTCTCCTTCCCCTCCTCCCTCCTCCCACTTACTGAGTAGCCAGAACAGAAACAGGCTCCAGGCTGCAACTGCTGCGACCCCAAAAGCCGCCCACTGCGAGAGGTACGGGATACCAACCAGCTGCTCCAAAGCCCCAACTCCCAAGACCAAGGCCCCCCTCCCCCTCCCCAGCCAGTTAAGGCGGGACGACCTTCCATCCTTCGGGAACTTGCGCCCCAAAAAAGGAACCTCCTCCAGCCACACCTCACCCTCCCGCTCTCACCCACCGACTGACTGACTGCAGCTTGGAGGCAGGCAAGGCAAATATTGCAACCAACCGACCAACAACAAGCAAACCTGACATCCCATTTCGTCCCATCTCATCTCCTCCTTTTTGTTCCTTTCTCCCCCTTCCATCCATCTTCTCGACCCATCCATCAACCAACAAACCATCAAGCATCGTTTCCCTGCTTTTTTTCTTTGGATGCAACGATAGACGGTACCGTGCCATTGCATCGCGGTCGACATCACCACCGCACCAAACATCATCCGCCCCATTTACGTCACCCGCACCGCTGACCCCGGCATCAATTCGCAACCCAACCACCAGTGTTGCCTCGCCAGTATTGCCCTGCCTGAGGCTCTGAAGACTTTGCTTCGAACTCGCTCCGTGCGGCTGCCTCCCCCGTCCGTCAGCCACCGTTGTTGCCGCTGCAAACCAAAACCCAGTCTGATCCCCCGTCGTTCTGCGCAGCTTCCGCCGCCGAGCACGAGCCCTTCAGCCTTCTTCCGCCAGCCCGCATGGCCCGCGACGACACGTCCCATCACTAGAGTTGCAGCGACCACAGCCCGCGCTGCATCTCACCACCCCGACGACCCCCGCCGCCCACAATGGCCGCCTTCATCACTCAGCCCGACGAGGGGTACTCAGAGGACCCCCTCAACCCCAGCTTCAGCGGCGCCCAGGATGCCTCGAGCTCTGGCACCAGCGGCAGGACGCCTGCCCACGAGGAATTGACGGCCATCCTCCAGAGGCGCGTCCCCAGCTTGACCAACGACGAGAAGATGGGTAAGTATCGCGGCGAGGAGTTGCTGATGCATATGAGCTGACTGTGTGTTCCTGCAGAACTCGCCATGACAATCATCAACAACATGCCCACCTCCGGCGTCGTCGAGCTCGTCAAGCGAATGCACCCCCGCCTCTACATCGACTTCATCCAGTACCTGCCTCCGGAAGTCTGTCTTAAGATTTTAGGCTACCTCGACCCAGTTGCTCTAATCCGCGTCGCCGGCTCGTGCCGCGCGTGGCATGAGCTGGCTCTCGACAGGAAGCTGTGGGAGCAGCTGTACCACCTTGAAGGCTGGAAGGCCGACTATGAGGCGATCCAGAGACACGAGGACAGCCTCAACGAGCGGCACAAGAACTACACCCTCCACCGGGTTCGATCATCCGAGGACGGCCACACGTATAAGAAGCGGGCCATCTCCGAAGATAACGATTTGGAAATGACCGACGTCGACCGACCCCTAAAGACGGAGGAGTCCGTGACCGGGAACAGCATTTTCGGCAGCCCCGCGTCGTCCTTCACCGGCTTCGGCAGAAATTCCGCCACGCCCACACCTGTAGATGTCGACATGGACCGCTCCTCAGGGTCCAAGAGCCGTAGTGCGGACAGAGTTGACTCCAAGGGCAAGGGCATAGCATCCCCGCTCCACCAGAGTACGCTTGTTGGGGAATATTCGCTGCCGTCCATGGTCCCGACGAACGCTTGTGATGGGCGCCCCCCCGGTGTTCCAGAGTCCAAGCTGTGGTCCTGGGACGCCTCAAGCTCCAAGTATCGTCTCAACTGGAGGTACCTTTACACGATGCGTCGGCGTCTCGAGAGGAACTGGGAGCTCGGCAGGTATTCCAACTTCCAGCTTCCTCGTCCTGACCGCCCCCAAGATGGCCACACAGAGTGCATCTATACTTTGCAATATGACAAGGAATACCTCGTCAGCGGTAGTCGGGACCGCACGATCCGCATTTGGAGCTTGATCAACTACAAGCTGTTGAGAAAACCGCTTGAGGGCCACAACGGCTCCGTTTTGTGCTTGCAGTTCGACGCGGATAAAGACGAGGACTTGATTGTGTCCGGCAGCAGTGACTCTGATGTCATTCTCTGGCGGTTCTCGACAGGGCAAATGATCCAGCGATTGTCACACGCGCACACAGAATCTGTGCTCAATGTCAAGTTCGACAAGCGCATCTTGGTGACTTGCTCAAAGGATAAGTCGATCAAGATCTTTAACCGTAGGCCGCTCAAGTACGGCGACCCCGGATACGGGGATTCTGACATCATCTATGCCGTCCCAACCCACGTGCGAGACTACGGATACTCCAACCCGATGGACGACCTGCCGGTCAAGCCCCCTTACACCATGATCGGTGTCTTGGACGGCCACGGCGCCGCTGTCAACGCTGTTCAGATTTGCGACAATGAAATCGTGTCCGCCAGCGGAGATCGCAATATCAAGGTATGGGACTGGGCGAAGCAGGTTTGCATCCGAACCGTCGTTGGCCATAGCAAGGGCATTGCGTGCGTGCAGTACGATGGCCGAAGAATTGTTAGTGGCAGCAGCGACAACGAGGTCAAGGTGTTTGATAGGTTCACTGGTCTCGAGGTAGCCAGCCTGCGCGCTCACAATAACCTTGTCCGAACCGTTCAGGCTGGGTTCGGCGATCTCCCGTACAGCGCCGAGGAGGATAAGCTGGAGGCGAAGAGAGTCGATCAGAAATACTTCGAGGCGGTTCAGAAGGGAGAAGTCAGTCCGTACGGGGAACAGGGCAGTAGCAGTCGCCGCAGCAGACCTAGGAACGCCGGCAGCAGCAAGCCCGAGGACATCACAGCCTACGGCGCCAACATTCCTCCTGGAGGTGGCGGCGGCAAGTATGCCCGCATCGTGTCCGGCTCGTACGATCAGACTATCATCATCTGGCGCCGCGACAAGGAGGGTGTTTGGAAGGACGTTCATCGTTTGCGTCAAGAAGAAGGTGCGGCGGCGGCGCAGCTCGCCTGGAGAGCGGCATCTGAGGCAAAGGCGCAGGCTCAAGCCAGAACATCCATCGACCAAGTCAGAACATCCATCGACCAGCCCATCATTGCGACCATCACCCCGGAGTCCGCTCAATCATTCATGCACATGATTGAAATCACGGTACCTCAAGGACCTCAGCACTTGCGAAGCGCCCTGATGGAGTACCCTACGATGCTTGCCTACACTTCTCACATCCAGGCCACCATTGCCAGAGAACCTAACCCGCGCACGAGGACCGAGCTGAGGCAGATTCTGCAGGCTGCGTCGTTGGAAATCCAGTTTACCCAAGCTCGTGCTCGAGCCGCTGCGACTGCCGCTGCCACTCGCGAGGCTCAGCCGCTTGCTCCGGCCACGCTCCCTTCGCTTGAGCTAGACGACAGTTCGCCCGGCGGGTTTGACTTGACGCAGATCGACTTCTCTGCGCCCCCGTTCCGCCCATCTGAGGCTCCTGCTGTTGATGTTGAAAGACCTGCGAGACGGCACTACATTGCCCACACGACAACTGCCAACCTCGAGTCGATGCGCACTACTTCAGCGCCTACGAATATCCCTCAACGATCGGCTACGCCCGGAGCAACGCAGACGCCATCACCGGCGGTGCAAGGGCACTTGATGATTCAGGGTCAGAACCAGAACCAGGGCCAGGCTCGCTCATCGTCGCAGCCCCCAGCCAATGCGCAGCCCACACAGCCCGGCGCCCCTGTGCAAACGCAGGCTACGCCCGTCCCGGTGCAGGGAGCTCAAAACCCGGTGCCGGACGCTGATGGAGGCGCGGCGGCGCACCACCCGCACATTGCCAACGCCGACAACGGGCCGGCGCGGGTGTTCAAGCTGCAGTACGACGCCCACAGAATCATTTGTTGTAGTCAGACAACTGTCATTGTTGGGTGGGACTTTACGAATGGCGACGAGGAGCTGCGCGAAGTGGCGCGCCTCTGCCTCTTTGGATCAGTAGATTAGATGTTGGACAGCAGTCACAGACATAGCATAATTGTATCAGGAGGGGAAGTTGACAGGTTTATCATGGCATAGTGGCGTTTGGACGGTAGATGTATAAATTCAAAGAGTAATGGACGACACGTGCTCGCAAACTGGCCCAACGCCCTCAACGCCGTGTTTTCCGTGCAAGCAATCATCACTTCTAACCCGCAGCCTCTTTGACCTTGGCACCCTCCTTCGCCGGCTCCTCGTCCACAAAGTCGGGCAGCTCGTCCTGCAAGAAACTCGGCACGGTGCCCATCTCCGGCTCCAGCTCCGCCTCCATACCCAGCGCCTCCAACTCGGCATCCAGCTCCGCCTCGTCCACATCCTCAGGCACATCGTAGCTCCTCGCCAAACTCTCCTGGATATCATTCCCGATGTCCATCAAATCCGCCATCTCGTCCTGCAGCCGCTCGATCTTGTCAATGTCCACCTTGCCGTACTGCTTCTTGAGCTCCTTGTTGGTCGTCTTCAGCGCGTCGACGGTGGCCATTGTGTTCTTGAGGTTGTCCTGCATCGTCTGGGCCTGCTCCATGTTCCAGACCTGGGACTGCAGCTGGTCGCGCTGCCCTTCGTACATTTTGCGGCGCTGCAGGACCTTGAGGGCTTTTTGCTTGATGGCGTTCTTGCCCGGGCCGTCGCGCATTTTGGAGAGCTTGGACTGGTAGGTTTGCAGCTCGGCGGTCAGGGCGGAGAGCTTGACGTCGATTGAGGAGATGCGGTCGTCGATGTTGGTTATGGCGGAGTTGAGGGTCGGTTTGGGCCCTTTGGGGGCGGCGCCGAAGAGGCGGTTCATTGTGAGGTTGTGGGTGCCGCGGGCACGGTATGGGAGGGGGTTGGCGATGTGCGGTTCTGGTGGTGCCGGGAGGTGGAGGGTGGTGAGTAAGGTGCTGGTTGCCTGGATGACGTTGCGTGGACGGCGGGTGAGGATGGCCGGGAGCTTGGGTGCGTCCATATCGATAGACCCCGCGGTGAGATCGGAGCCGAGTTTATCCGATGTGCCATGTTGCTGGCCTGTGGTGAGGCTTGGCCGACCAATCCCGGTCTTTCAGCTTCATTCCGGACCAGGAACCGAGATCAAATACGATGTCGACTGCCGAATTCCGAGCATCGCAATTTGTGCGATTCTCAAATTTCCTGTTCACACTTTCAACCTATGCTACTCCTCCGATTTTGGATAACTCGAATAGCCGGACAAGTGTCTGCTATGGCCAAACTTCTTCCACCGAACCGCCCCCAATCGAATGACATACCACAATCCCCTGGCTGACCTAGCATGCATTCATACCTGGTCTTCTCATCACAGGTCTGCATTCGCAAACTGAACATTTCGATATGCCGCTGCCCTGCAAATGTCCATTTTCAGGGGTAAGCCATCCGCGTACGTGCCACGAGTCGCCCGTTTACCCGTTACCTAATGGGTTCTCCCCCGTGCCGGGCATCGCAGCAAATGAAGCATGCCAAGATTACCATGACTAAAAGGATACCTGTCGCCGTTTTCCGCGTCCCTTTTATGTGAGCAACCCTGCGAGGCTATCGTAAACTCACAAACCCTCCCTTCTTCTCCCATCTACGTTTTTAGACTGTCCCTAAGAGACCGGCCCCCAAGGAAGAGAAAAGACCTCCCACATGTGACTGTGAAGACGTGAATGTACTTGCGACGCAGACGTACAATGAGACGGTCGGAGCAGGAGCTGGCGCAGATGGAGGAGGAGAAGCTGTGGACGGGCCACGAGCCGATACTCAGCCCGCGGTTTGGGGATGATGACGAGGATGAAGAGCCCGCGGCCGCTGGCGGCTCCGAGACGGAGGCGTGTCTCGGCGACGACGAGGTGAGAGGGCCCGTCGAGGAGGGGGAGGCGTTGCCTGTATACGTATCGATGCATCGGTAAATGCTTTCCGTGGATGTGAGAGGTGCAGAGCATGTGCTGACCGAGGCCAGAGTCCGCCGCCTCATTGTCGCGAGCATAGACGACCCGTACACCGTCGACCAGCTCAGCGACGCACGGCTCAATGTGCGCATTGTCCGGCCGCTCGTGGACAGACTCTACAACCCAAAGGACGTCACGATAGGTACGCCTACACCCTCACACCTGCCACCACCAGACACTGACACCCGGCACAGTCTACTGCCTCCTCGCAAACCGCCTGTACTTCCTCCGCCAGCACGCCTCAACAATCCACCGACCCCTCGCCAAAGCCCGCGCCGCCCTCGCCGAACTCGTCGCCACGCGCCTCTTCCGCCGCTTCCACGAAGACAACCCCGGCGCGCAGGGCCTGCTCGCGCTCTCGCGCATGCTCGTCGGTGGCTTCGACCCCTTCGAGGGCGCCCCCTCGGCCGTCGAGTTCGAGGGCCGCAGCCGCCGGCAGTGGGCCGTGCAGCCGCGCCCCGGCGGCCACGAGCGCAAGCTCACGGCGCTCGAGCTCGCCATCCTCTCCGAGAGCAAAGGCTTCATCGCCTCCGCGGGCTGCCAGCGCGTCGTCACCGCCGTGTACGAGGGGCGCGTGGTGTACACGCCGCTGAGCTTCGTGGACATCCTGCCCGACCACTTCGAGTACCGGCCCATCTCGCTGTACGACCCGCGCAAGGCGCCGATTCTGAACCACTACCGCCTCATCGTGCCGCGCGCGCGGAATCTGATCGAGCTGGGGCAGTTTTTGTTGTTGATGGTGCTGTACTTCATGGCGATGCTGTACCGCCGCAGCAGCAACGAGGTGTACGAGTTTCTGTTCTGTATCTATGCGGCGGGGTGGGTGCTCGACGAGGTGGCGGCGATCGTGGAGCACGGCTGGGCGGTGCACGCGCAGAACCTCTGGTCCTGGCTCGACGTGACCTTCTCCTGCATCTACGGGGTCTACATCCTCGCGCGCGTGTACGACGTCGCGGCGGGCAGCTTCCCGGACGGCCACGGCCCGCACGTGCTCCCGCTCGCGGCGCCGATCCTGCTCACGCGCGTGGCGTTCAACATCGCGCCGGACAACATCGTGCTGATCTCGCTGCACGCGATGATGGCGGACTTTCTGCTGGTGTCGCTGCTTGCGTGCTGGTGCTTCATGGGGTTCCTGCTGGCGCTGCAGTGGCTGATCGACTCGAACGACAACCTCAACGAGACACCCTCCTGGTTCACGATCGGGAAATGGATGCTCTGGATCTGGTTCGGGCTCGACGGCACGGGGATCGAGGAGAGCGTGCAGTTCCACGTGCTGCTGGGCCCGGCGCTGATGATCGGGTTCGCGTTTTTGGGGAACACGCTGTTCCTCACGATCCTGGTGGCGATGCTGACGAACACGTTTTCCAAGATTGTCAAGGGCGAGGAGGCGGAGGTGCAGTTCCGGAGGGCGGTGCTGACGTTCGAGGGGGTGAGGTCGGACGCGCTGTTCATGTACCCGCCGCCGTTTAATGTGTTTGCGCTGGTGGTGCTGGCGCCGGTGCGGTTCTTCGTGGAGGCGGAGACGTTTCATCGGGTGAATGTGGCGCTGATACGCGTGGTGAACCTGCCGACGCTGCTGCTGATCAGCCTGTGGGAGCGGCGGCTGTTCTCGCGGCGGGCGCGGAGGGGCATGGCGGGCGGAGGGGGGAGGAGGCGGCGGTGGAGGTTTTCGGGGCTGAGTCCGCACGGGGATATACAGGCCGTGTTCGAGACGCGGCCGCCGCCTGATGTGGCGGATCTGATTGAGGGGCTGGATGCGCTGGAGGAGAAGGAGGAGGGGGTGAGGTTGCGGGCGGGGGTTCGGACGGCGGTGTTGGAGCATGATGAGTGAGGTGGTTTACGGGTTGTAGGATTATGTTGGGTAGGTCATGGGTCTTGGTAGAAGAATGGGCGTTTGGGGGTTGGGTAGACTTGTGAGTAGCATTTGCTGGCGTTCATCGGTCCAGTATGATGAATGGAGTCTTCTGTTTGTTTCGAAGCGTTCATTACCTACCCCTGGGATGTTTACCCCTGTGAAGAATTTTGACTATCCTATGGCACTTATGTGTTTGCTTAATGTCTGCTATCACCTCTGTTTTTTCATCGTCTACACTATTTTCTTTATTTCCTGTTTTACCAAGTCTAAGGGATATTCTTAGCAAAGGATATCGAGTGGTTTAGGCTCTTCCTGACCTTGATGTCGAGGAATGCCTGGATAGATACAAAATAGGCCGAAAGAGAGATACATAGCAGGAATACTTCAGAAGACAGTCAGGAATGCAAAGACGTTCCCATCTTGATTCAGCCCTATCAGATGTGCGGGTCGTCCCGCGGCGGACTTCAGACGATGGCAGCAGAACGTGGGGGTCCCTGCCACGCGAATGTCACTGTTGATTTTCTGCTATCATGCAGTAAAATTGGGTGTTGATAGCCCCTCCACCGCTGCAACACCAAAACAACGCCCAGCTGCCACGCTTCCGAGGTGCCGAGAAACACGTGGAGGTGCGTCCCATCGTCGCCAAACAAAACCAAACAGAGCCAATCTGACGTGCAGCAGCCTGCAGCACCAAGAAACCACATTACGAATCCTCCGTCACGCAGGCACTAGCCCTTCCAGTCGACCACGGGAGGGTCCGCCGGTTAGTGTTGGTTGGCCTCTCTGTTGTGTACTTTTGTGCTCGCATCTGATTTTTCTGGCGGCCCCTCGTGGCCCAACCAACCTCAAAAAGTCACACCCCGCCATCGCGTCGTCACTTGACCCCGCGACGCACTCAGGTCACAACCACCTCACCACAGTCGCGCGACGACACCCACGGTTTTTTCACCTGGTGCTCATCCCAACTTCTCGACAGTCACTACCGCACAGCAACACATCAACCACGAAAAAAATGTCGCTATTCGGAAACTTCGACGTCGCGAAGCTGGCCTCCCAGCTAGGCGGCTTCACCATCCCCGACGATCCCGAGATCCAGCACGAATACGGTGAGCCTCTTCACATCACTCCCGCAGGCTCCTTCTGACCCGCCCCCAGGATCAAAGGACTTTGGCTACAGCAACCACGGCTCCCACCCCGGCGGCTACGACGGCCAGCCCCCCTCAGGCTACGCCGGCGGCCCCCAGAACGGCGCCGACGAGTACAAGCGCGAGCACCCCGACGCCTTCGGCACCGCCGACCCAGAGCGCTCCGCCGCCGCCTCCTACGGTGCGGGCGCGTTCTCTGCCGCCGCAGCCGGGACCTACGGCGCCCAGGCCCCTTATCCCACGGACTCGCCCCGCCCGGAGCACCGCTACGGCGACCAGCAGAGCCCCTACCCCTCAGAGTCCCCGCGCCCCGAGCACCGCCCGTACGGGGAGAGCGCGAGCTCGTACCGCCCGCCGCCGCCCGAGCACGGCTATGAACGCCCGCCCTCGCCGCGTCTGCCGGACGGCTGGGCCAAGAGGTTCGATGAGCGGAGCGGGCGGTGGTACTACGTCAGTCCGAACAACTCGACGCAGTGGGAGCCGCCTGCGCCGGAGCCGAGGTACGAGGATCGGTATGCGGGAGGAGGGCACTCGCCTCAGCCGGGGTATGGCGGTCACTCACCGGCGGAGTACGCTGCTGGCGCGGTGGCGGCGGGAGCGGTTGCGGGCGCTGCTGCGGGGTACTACGCGGGACATGGCTACGAGCAGAGCCAGCCTCATCAGCAGCAGCCGCAGTATCATGACCCGAACCGCTCGTATGGTCAGCCTGGATACGGCCAGCCTCAGGGATCGCCTTATGGACATCCTCAGGGATCTCCGTACGGACAGCCTCACGCATCTCCACATGGCCAGCCTTCAGGATCCCCGTACAGTGGCGGATCGCCATATGGACAGCCGCAAGCTTCGCCGTACGGTCAGCCCCAGCAGCAGGCGTATGGACACCCGTACGGCCAGCAATATGAGCAGGCTAGCGAGGAGAAAAAGAAGAAGAAGAGCAGCAGCAGCAGTAACATGCTGCTCGGCGTGGCGGGTGGTCTTGCTGTCGGCGCTATAGGAGGAGCCCTCATTGCGAACGCTCTGGGTATGCTGCTTGTCTCTTGTCAAGCCAGATTACTAACAGTTCTGCAGACTCCGACTCCGATGAAGAGCGCCACCAGGAGCGATACGAACGAGGCAGCGACTCCGGATCCGAGCACCGCTACCGCGAGTACGAGCGCGACGAGAGCGACCGGGAGTCGTTGCGGGAGGCCAGGAGGGAGTACGAGGAGGAGCTGGCCAGCGCGCGGGGGTCGAGCTGCAGCAGCAGCGACCGCGAGTCGAGCTGCAGCAGCAGCGACCGCGAGTCGTTGCGTGAGGCGAGGGAGGAGTATGAGGAGGAGTTGCATGATTACTATGATGACTGAGACAGCTGATGGTTAAGTCGATCATCGGTTCTTAATGCATAGAGATACCTGTCAGCAAACTTCAAAACAAGTGATTCCCGATGCCAGCATCATTTTGAGTTGATTTATCAAGAACCCCTTATCTTGCCAGATAGCGATGGTTCGCCTCACTGCAGACATCCTGGGCGTCTTCCTCCGTCTCTGTGAAAGTGCATGCTCCCCACCAGCCAAGCAGATCTATTGGATATGATACATATAGAACGAAGATGAGGAGAATGGGCGTGGTTCACAACAAGATTAAGCGTTCCACTGTTCCGTTTTCTAATGCATAGCTGCGGCGGTTCCTCTCCAAGGCTCTGTCTGGTCTTGATACTTGCTTTTCTGCTTGTTTGGACTTCGCGTTGGATTCTTTGCCCGCCGCTCAGCGTTGCCGTCTAGTTCTTATCCCTTTCGTATACCCAATGGATGAATGAAGACAAGTGCACAACCACCCTTCTAACTGCTTCTGCCCTTTTGTGATGGAGTGTGTATGAAAGTCATCCATTGGCTGTGATGGCCTGTTTCAGGTTGGATGGGTACGGCGCCAGGCAGGGATATCCTGTTACATAACAGCGACCACTGCCTACGATTGTTCTTTTTTTGGTTTTTAGACTATGCTGTTTAAGAGTGATTTATAAGAGGAGCTTTCTCACCTTGGTGCTGTGGTGGTGGTCCTAGTCCTTTTCCTAATGCCGCAATGCTTCCGATTATAAAAGGAGGGATGTCACTGAAGTTGGCTTTTCCCCAGCAATTCGATTGCTCTTGGGTCCATTATTGTGGAATGGATTGGTCAAATAGCAAGGTAATGATTACTCCCGCGGGCTCCGAAAGTATCGGCCATCTTCGCCTCTAAAGGGTATGTGGGCTGTTTGGTTGCGTACTCTCATAGTTGGATAGGCCTCGTTAGTTGTGCAATACTCCAGAGACTCTGGCGGTGACGATGGACGACGAACCGAAGAGGGGTTTGAAACGCTTTTCGAGATGCTGTCGGGTCGGTTATTTAGAACTGACCACTGCAGTAGAAGCAAATACACATCCGATACGAAGCTTTCGCAAATGCCAAGAATTGCGAGGCCCAAAAGGTCAAGAAAATCACAAAAAAGGGTGAAGAAATGAGATGCTCTATTACTGCTATGGTTAAGTCATTGACTATCTGCGGGAATGTTTTAACCATCCATCCGCCGGCTATTGGGCCATGTGACGGTGAACAGAATCGCCAATTTGGCGCGAGAGATGTAAGAACAGCCCTGACGGCAGAAATTGTTTTGGTGGATCTTGAGCCAACTACCAATAGGCAAGCATTCATATTAAACACTATTTCCTGGAAAGTATCTGGCAGTCATGCAAGTTGCGATTGAGATATCCCCTCTCCTGGAAGCCCTCAAAAAACGTCTGTTTCATTACATTACCATCTTCCAGCCAGATCTCACCCAATCTCATAGCTTCCAAACCTGCAAGTTGCGGTACCGAGCTACCAGAGGCTGCATCTGCCTGAACCCGATCCTCCCATCCCGAATCACCGGCCCAGTCGACTTGTCATCATTGAACTCAAAGATGGGAAGGTCGTTAATACTAAACTTGACCTTCCTCTTGTCCTTGACAACCTCGATCTTGTAAAACGCCCCCGCGGCATCAGGGACAGGGGGCAGCGGATCAGCTCCCTGCGCAACCAAATGAAACCCAGGCGACTTCCTCAAGTTGGCCAGGTGGAACGCCCGCTCCTCAGGCCACCGCCTCCGAAAGTACGACGCGTGCAGCGTCCGGATGTCGCTGGAGTGGTACTGCGGGTAGCTCCCGTTGCGGGGCTTGAGACTGGGGTCGAAGGTGCTGAGCTTGCCGTCGTCGGCGGCGGAGGCGGCGCCGAAGAAGAACATGGCGAGCCCGGGCTCGGCGCGCGGGGAGAACTCCCAGGTGATGCGGATGCCGTCGGGGAAGACCTCGGGCACCCAGTAGACGAAGTAGTCGTCCGGGCCGCCGGCGCCGGCGAGCTCGATGGTGCCGTTGACGGCGGTCACGTTGAGAGGCCCCTCGGGGATCCAGGTGGCGACGTCGGCGGTGGAGTTGAGCGGGTTGGAGTAGAGGAGCTGTTCGGCGGCCATGACGGGCAGGGCGAGGGAGAGGAGGGGGGCGAGAGGGCGCATCTTGGGAGAGAGGAGGATGTTGGGGAGGGAGGTGATTTTGATGGAGGGGTGCAGGGCCCGGTGGAGGTTCGGCGCGGGTGCGGAGCGGGGTGGGCGGCGTGTAGTCGGATCGTCCCCGGTGCGCGGGTTGCCTTTGGAGATTGAGGACGAAGACGATGGAGAAGGGTTACATTCTCAGACTGGGTGGATGACGGTGCTTTTTGAATGTTTTTCTGTTCAGTAAATGTTTCCTCATTTCAAGCTCCCCCTCTTCTCTCATCTTGGCGCGCGGTCGAAAGAAGCGCATCGGAAAACTTTCGTCTTGCGCCAACGGTGTGATGCTGCACCGAGATGAACCGAGTCCGGGGTCCCCCGGCGGTGGAGACGGGGGAGGTTGACGGATGCATGAGCTAAACTCAGGAGGGGCAGCTACTGCAACGTCTGCGATGTTGTGATTATGATTGCGAAAGGTGTGATTAATCAAAGAAAATGTGATTATTTCTCAATAACACTGAGTGCTGCTGGGGTTTCTTTTCAACATTGCGTATCTTGATTGCTCGTCCGTCAAGCACGCGATTGGAAACGTCGGATGAGGTGTGAGCGATGAGTTCGTCGGATTCCTGCGCATGATGACCCAGGTCCGCAGTCAATCGAGGTCCGGATGGCTGGTTCAAGTTCCACCAATTGAAGGGTGGAGATCGGCGTTGCATCCGGCAATGAGCCTAAATCTGACTTGAAGATGAATGGAAGTCTGTTGTGACCCTATAAAGCTTGCCAAGATGCGAGCATCCTTGGATATGTCCTCATCAATGGGACGAACGCGACGCCGAAGGATCCGGTAAACTTCAGTCCTTGAAGAGAGCGGGGCTGTCCGTTCGGCCGGAACAATGAATTCCACTTTAATCCCGCCGGAACGGAGGCAGCACGGAGCAACGATCCATGAGAAGCGGTATTTGTATTTGACGAAGCGGTGATCAATATTGCGATCCAATCCGCCACGTTGCTGAGATGCATAATATATACAAGAAACATTACTTATTAATCCCACATCACCACGTGTTATACGAGTCGATGATGTTATCAACATCACTCTCGTCGTCGTCCTTGTTCACCGTGACCCCGACTCGGGAACCAGAGAACCTCTCGGCCGGCCACCCCTGCATCGTCCACTTCGCCTCGACCACATCCCCTCCCATAATGAGAGTGTGCTCCAAAAGACAGCTATCGTTCTTCATCATGGCACCGCTCAACAACCTGCTGCCCGTCCGCAACACACACCTGTCCCCGATCTCGAGGCGGTTCAAGTCAAACTTGCCGCGGGTATTGATATGTGCCACAACACTCGCATCATCCACCACAACCCTGTCTCCGAGCGTAATCAAATCCGGCTCGGTGAACATCAGGCTCGGCTCCCCGTTGGCGAATAGTGCGCAGTCCTTGCCGATCTTGGCGCCCAACGCGCGGAAGTACAGCACCATCCAGTGCGTGCCCGTCAGCATGCCCAGCACCCCGTGCCCGCGGTAGCAGTGCCGTCGCAGCCGCTCGATCGCGAGGAAGAGCTGCCACCGCTGGCAGTACGGCGACTTGTCCCAGTCGTAGTTGCCCGGCTGCCGGCGCCCGAGGAGGAGCCACTTGGCACCGACAACGAGCGCCAGCGCGACGACCGCGTGGAGGGTCATGAGGACGGAGATGCCCGCGAAGGAGAGCACGTAGAGCAGGATGACGGCGTACCAGTCGTTCTTGCTCTCGGCGTGGAAGATGTCGTAGACGCTGTTGATGAGCTGGATCGAGGAGATGGTGGGCACGTTCCAGTAGAAGGCGGTGAAGACGGTGATGAAGGTGGAGTAGAGAAAGATGGTGCCGGGCCCGAGGACGCGGTAGGATGCCTGGTTGAGGTAGAAGGCCCTTCCGAACGGGGACGCGTCGTTTGCGTCTGGCTGGGCTGCGGGTGCTGTTGGTTTCGGCGCGGGAGTTGGGAGGGGTTTGCGCGGCACGATGAGCCTGTCGGCGGCCATGGCCTTCTCATTGGGGAAGTACCGGCTCGCTCGCTTCTCCTGCTTGAAGCTCTCGCGGCAGGTGGTCAAACAGACGGCGTCTCCGCCCTTAGAGCCGACGAAGGTGCCGCCTTTGGCGTACAGCTTGTTCCGTCTCGTCAACGCGCCGGAGCCCATGGTGGTCCGCTCGCCGACTTCCACTCCCGGCAGGAGACAGACGCGGTCGGCGATCATGGCGCGGTCCTGGATGATGATCTTCTCTGAACCGATGCTGTCTGAGGTGATCAAGTGAGAACGCGATCCGAAGACCACGTCGTTGCCGATGTCGAGGAGGTGGTAGTCGGTGATCACGGGGCCGGTGCCGGGCCAGTACACCCGTTTGCCGATTTTCCCTCCCATCATGCGGACGGCGACTGAGGTGGCCTCGTAGTGCGAGCCAAAGAGCCCGGTGACGTCGTGGAGACGGGCACCTGGGAGAAGCTTTCGGATGAGATCCGTCCGCCAGGTTTCGATATTGCCTCGGGTTTTGTTGGGGCCGCCCCTGAGCGGACCGAACATGGCGTCCAAGAGGAATTTCACCAAGACGGCGAAGCCAAATACGAAGAAGGGCGTGAAGATGGATCGCAGGATTAAAGCGAGGTAGTGGTATCCCACGCGGTGGCTGTGAGTAAACCACTCGAGGATGTCCCTCATCGGCGAGTGACTGCTGAGAGGCTGGTTGAGGACCATGCCGACGAGGCCGCTGAGCCACGGGGTCAGCGACAGGAGCCAGCCGATGGCTAATAGAGGCATGGTCCCGAGAATTGTGAGCAGCCAGTGCGGCTTCGGAGCCTTTGTTGGAAGTGTGTCCCTGTTCGATTCATCCGCA